AGAGAGCCCGATGTGGGGCTCGATCCCAGGACCCTGGGATCATGACCTGAGCCGAAGGCAGACGCTTAACGACTGAGCCACCCAGGCGCCCCTCTTCTTTTTTTAACTATGTATTATGGAAAAGTTTAAACTTATACAGAAGTAGAATAGTGTAATGAACCGTATGTAACCAACACTCAGCTTCAACTCTTATCAATTCCTGACAACTTTGTTTCACTTTGTCGCCTCCCCCTTCTCTATTATATGGAAGCAAATCTGAGATATACTATTTCATCCATAAATATTCTTTTGGGGGGGCAGGAGGAAGCCACCTTCCCTTTTTTATTTATTTATTTTTTATTTATTTATATTTATTTATTTTTTTAAAGATTTTATTTATTTATTTGACACAGAGAGAGAGAGCACAAGCACAAGCAGGGGGAGCAACAGGCAGAGGGAGAAGCAGGCTCCCCACTGAGCAGGGAGCCCAATGCGGGGTTCGATCCCAGGACTCCGGGATCATGACCTGAGCCGAAGGCAGACGCTTAACCAACTGAGCCACCCAGACATCCCCATAAATATTCTTCATTCTCAATAACTGCTTTCTTTTAAGAGGAGGGCAGGGGCAGAGGCAGAGGGAGAGAGAATCTCAAGCAGACTCCCTGCTCACTGAGATCATGATCTGAGCTGAAATCAAGAGTCGGCCACTTAACCAACTGAGCCACCCCAATGCCCCCTCAAGAACTCTTTAAAAAATAAATAACCACTCGGGGTGCCTGGGTATCTCAGTCAGTTAAGCGGCTGACTCTTGATTTCAGCTCAGATCATGATCTCAGGGTCATGAGATGGAGTCTGCGGCAGGCTCCACACTCATTGGGGAGTCTGCTTGAGATTCTCTCTCTCCCTCTGCCCCTCCCCCCACATTGGCGCATGTGCGTGCGCTCTCTCTCTCTCTCTAAAGTAAAAAATAAATCTCTAAAATAAATAAAGAACCACAATATCATTGTTAGATCAAAAAAATCCAAAATTCACAGTTCCTTAATACCAAGCATTCAGTCAGTGTTCAAATTCCCAGTGGTCTCATGAATGTTATAATTCATTTGAGTCAGGATCCAAGCAAGTCCTCCACATTGTAATTGTTTAGTATATCTCTTAATAGATTTCCCCCTCCATTTTTTTCCCTTGAAGTTTATTTATTGAAAAAGTTAACTTTGAAAAAATAACTCTTTCTCCCACTACCTGACTTGGTACCACATCTATCATCTGTTATTTCATTGAATAAAGAGATTTGAAATTGAAATTTAAAAGAGGTCATTTTGTTACTTGATAGAAATTCTGGTATAAGATTTTGGGGACATAATGTTGTAGTCGTAAGATAAAAGTAAGGTTTTAGACAACTTCGTTTCCTTTATATATCCGAAGAACAAAGAGATACTGTTTCATGTTTATTTGAGGGCATTTGTGTCAGTCTGTCTATCTTTGTTCATCTTTTGTCTCTGCCATATTGAGTGGCTTTGATACATGGTCCAATAGTGTGATTCCGTTTATTATATATATATATATATATATGTGGTCTTGTCTTGAAATGTTTATTGTTATGGGGTGCCTGGGTGGCTCAGTCGGTTGAGCGTCTGTCTTTGGCTCAGGTCAGGATCCCAGGGTACTGGGATCGAGCCCTATATCGGGCTCCCTGCTCAGCGGGGAGCCTGCTTCTCCCTCTCCTCCCCGCTTATGCTCTCTCTTGCTCTCTCATTGCTATCTCTGTCTCTCTCAAATAAATAAATAATATCTTTAAAAAAACATTTATTAAAAGTTTTCAAATGGATATTGCGTATTTTTTTAATGGATAGCAACAAAATTTGTTAGGTTGCAGGAGATCTTGTAGATTCTGTTGGCAGTGAGCAAAGTAGAATAAAGTGGACTGGCTTAAGCATTTAGAGTAATCTACATGAATGTCTGGAATCTGGCCCCATAATTACACTAAGCTTACTGTCTATGAATCTTTCATTTTTTTCCCCTGAGGAGGAGGAATATTTTTTGAGGACTCTGGAGATATGGTGATTAGTATACTCTAAGAAGTCATAGTCTGGATGTTCTAAATGAGTCTCCATTACATCCAAGGAGGAAGAGGCATTTTCAGAGAGGGGGCTCAGACCAGGAACATTCAAACACCAGCTCTCTGACAGTTATTTCAGAGGCAAAAGCAATTTCTACTGGAAACACAGCAGTCAGCATATCTCCCTAACACCAGTTCTCTGTCACACACCCCTAGATAATCTATTGCATTGACACCTTCGCGACAGCCTAGCCAAGCCTGCTGATGTGGGATCGAGATTTCCTGTGCACGCCAAGTTGGCCAAAACTTGGCAACAATCCTGAATTTGCTGAGAACAAAGCTTGTTAAAGCATCCTCTGTGTTGCAAAGGGTTTCAGAGTTATAAAGTAATAACAAATATTTTACCAACAACTTGATGAGTAAAGGAGGCTATATTTGCCTCAGTTTCACAGAGGAGATGCCAGGTCATCCATCTCAGCAATAAATTTAGTTTAATGGTCACCTGACTATATATGGGCAAAAGACACCAATGCTTGACATCATATTTGAGTGACACAGAGATCCAGAGACGGCATGCCCTCAACATCAGCCTCAGAGCTGGCACTTTTCCCGGGCTTGGTTTGGTCCACAGAGCCACAGACCCTCTCTGAGGCCTGCAGGCTCTCCTCCATCAGTAAATGTTGATCTACTTGATCTTGAACCCTTGAGATGTTAAATTGAAAGTTGAAATATTTATAAATAAAACTAGGACCACCACATCCTGATTTGTAATTTAAAAAATTATTATGACAGAGAAGTTCATCTGAAAATCAACAAATTAGATACCAGAAAGATTATTAGTGTCATGACATAGGATTTTTTTTTTTAACTTTAAAAGCATTCTGCTTCAGAAGCATAAGTTTGGGGAACATCATTAATGCTAAAGGTTAGTATAGCAAGGGTCAACCCGCCCTTCCTTCCCCAATATCCTTGGGCAGTCCTGTTAGGCTGCTGGGATGGAGGCACCATAAGTATGGACAGCCTTTTGCTTTGGAGAGAGCTTAAAAAATTTGGGTTTGCCTTGATGCTTGCCTGTTACTCATCTTCCCAGGTCATCCTCGATTTTTCAACCAGCTCTCTACTGGATTGGATATCATTGGTTTAGCTGGAGAATGGCTGACATCAACTGCCAATACCAATATGTAAGTTCCACATATTATTTTCATATAAGCAACCATGATATGTGATTATGGCTTGTTGCTTTAAAAGTGCACTTCCAATGGTTCTATAATAATTTATTACGGTTTTCCTAGTCATCTTTTCTCTTAAAATCTTTTAGCTTTATCACAGTTCTGATTTAATAGTAAATATTCGGGTGCCTGGTGGCTCAGTCGTTAAGCGTCTGCCTTTGGCTCAGGTCATGATCCCGGGGTCCTGGGATCGAGCCCCGCATCGGGCTCCCTGCTCGGCGGGAGGCCTGCTTCTCCCTCTCCCA